GAACATTGACCAATTAATTGTCATTAGTGTAAAAAGGACTTTTGTTGCTGCCCTACGTGCCAGTGGCATAAAGGGCAGTAAGTAAGTAATTGTAATGTTCATGGTAATGAGTAAACATATGAAAAACTAAGACATGGACTTTTTTTTCCATGCAATTGTCTTGTATCGCTTTAGCCATTAATTACGTTGCATTTTAGAACTGTAAATCAAATCATTCATGTCATTAACAAAAGAAAAAGGATGAACTGGGAAATGCAGGCCAGAAACCTTTTTAAATATGAGGCTGTTCCAGTGCTGTTACCCGTCTGTATATTGATTTATGTTAATTCCCTCTAATGCTTAAAAAAAAAAAAAATGCGCTTGAAGCTGAACAAATATGAGCACATTTCCATTCATAACATAATATTTATGTGCATGTTTACAAGGTTAAAGTGCTCCATATGACAGAAATATTGAAAGGTTAAATGTTTTAGATATGCTTTCAAATGAATCATTTCATGGACAGCCAGATCTCAATAGTTTCTGACACAAGTGATCCACAAATGACAGATCATTATGAACTTCATTAATGGCGAGTCAGTTTGGCTTAATTCTGATAATAAAATTCGAATAATACACACAACATACATTACATTTTGACTGTCAATTTTTGTGTTGGGCTTGGTTGACCGCATCTCAGAGCCTCGGCCGCCACTTTCATAGCAAATCCCCCAAACCACAAAATCTCACACAGTATACTGCATTTATCAAATGTTTCAGTTAAACACCTGTCACTCAACAAAATATATTGGTTACATAACTGAGAAATCTACAGATATTCTCGAGGAAACTAGAAAGACCAGAGAAGGGAGGCACGGCTTCTCGCTCTCGTTCCAGACGGGAGACCCCCTGACGGAAAGCTTCAACCTCAAGGATCATTACAGTGCCAGACCAAACTAATCAACGCAGTGTTGGAGCTAATGAAACTCATCCATTTCCATCAAGTGATGGACATGGCAGACTAACAGTGTTACCATGGCGATGCAGTGATGGAAATCTATGTCTCCATAACTACAATTATGAATATATAAAGCAAGCTCAAAGGTTTGCAAATGTACGAATCATACTGTATTTCTAAGCCATGTGGTCCCACTATGTAAAACATTTAGTAGTAGAACTTTAAGTTCAATTATAATAATGCATGGTTAGTAGTAGAAGTACTGCTAATAGTAAAATGTGTTACAATTAAGTTGACATGATAAACTCTGCTGTTCATATAATTATTTCAAACTTCTTACGTTAATGTAATATTTATGAGTAAGCCAGAATTTGCTTATTTCTATAACATCCAACAGATAAACTGCAGCCATATGAAACATCCCAAAGCTGGATATTAGAGTTTTCCCTGCTGGGGCTTCTCCGATTGTCTTACTGGGTCTCTAATACACTTTGTAATGAGTAGATAATGTTAAGCTAATGTAATGGAGAGAAAAACTGAGCCGATGAGGAAGAAGAAAATTAGCCATCACACACGGGATTTCCACTTTCTAAACTTTTAAAAGGGGTGTATTTAACCTCCAGTGACTACTATATGAGCTAAGTAAATACGGACGCTGTTGGGTAGGAAGTACGATAAATAAACACTAATTTACACGGACACATAAATCATCACGTCTCAAACTATTGTTTGCATGTTTGAGGGCTGAAATAAGATGCATACAAGGCACATATGTTCTTGTTATTGTGAAATGGGTTGTTAAAATTCTCCACAAACTGCAGTGCCGTTCCTAAACACAGTGAAAAACACCTCAGTGACATCCAGCCCTAATTAAGAATAATTGTGAGAGAGTTGCAAAGTAGTCTCGCACAGATACACAAATGCAGCAAGAAGCTCTGCTGAAACGTAGCCTGAGAGAGAACATCTGCCCGCGCTCCACCTCTTCCCCACATCAAGAGAATTAGAGAAACAACAGAGTGGTAAACAACACAATGAGACTGAAAGAAGGAGAGAGAGGAAGGACATAACCCAAAAAAATCCTTCTCCCAGTCCCACAACATTACTTAATTTACAATGTCAACATAACAGTGCATCCTACTGCTTTCACTCCGATATACTGACTGCAACATCCCGCAACTCCTTACAAAACATTTAACAGTGGCCTATTAATAACACATAAACTTGAAAGTGAATAGTCTACTATATATTAATTAGAAAATTGATTAGAAAATCCCCATTCAAACATATTTAATTGCATTTAACCCTCTGGGGTCGGCTATCGCGCCGGCGCGACAAGCTCACTTTTTTCCTTATCAGTGCAAAAGAGACTCGAATTACTCTGTTGATTTTGATCTTACATATAAGTGTTGTACATCATTAGATCCTGTTAAGTGTATTTTCTTTGTGGATACTCACAATAAAAAAGTGTTCTGCTTTTTGTCAAATAAAGAAAAATAAACATGATAAAAAATTGTCCTTCTCTCTGTCAGAAACGCGTCTGAAATTCTCTTCTTTTAAATGAAGTAATTTATATAAAAAACAAATATTCTCAGTTTAAGTAATCTGTATGAAAATAGAGAGATGTCAGTCTTTTTCCTGACATTTTTTTAGCGTATGACGTGTTAATGTGACCACGCTCACTGAGAGCGCGTGCTATTCAAACGCAAATAATGAGGCAAGCCATGAAAACGCCCACATGAGCTAGATAAAACATCCAGTTTAATAAGAATCTTGTACTTTACCCCGTCTTGCTGCGCTGTGAGGAATAATACTATCGTAATAATCCTGGAAAAGTTACCTCAGAAGTAGTTTCATTTCGAGAAGCACGGATTCAGCTGATGTAGTAAGTTATTTATTCTTAAGTGCTTTGTTCTAATCGCATCTGTGCGTTCATTCACTCTTGCTCCTACATTAGTAAACGTTATTTTTACATGAACACATCCAAACTATATTGCTATAGCCTACAGAGATTTGTTCTAATCGCGATATAGAACAGTGTCTGTAATGACAACATTTTGTTGACTAGTTTTGGATAGATTATAAAGTTTTTAATCTAAAATAGACATCAAATAAGCTTTTGTTAGACAGTTTCTGCTCATTATGTTAAATATATAGTATGTTTTGTCAAAAATAAACTAATCAACTGTTATAGTGTTTGTTCCAATGCAAGCTAGGCTATATCAAAATAATGAATCCTTAACTTTGAAATATGTATGATAAAATGTATTGGCCTACTTTAAAAAATAATACTTTATAAGAGATTTATGGAAAAAGACAATTTTCTTTTCAAGATGTTTCCAACTCTAACTTTAAACCAATTCTATAGAATGGCCCATATAACCTATTTGAATAGGATTTGTTTACAGGTATGACTAAAAATGTGCTTTTGACTTTCATTTATATTTTGATTATATATATATATGTGTGTGTGTGTGTGTGTGTGTGTGTGTGTGTGTGTGTGTGTGTGTGTGTGTGTGTGTGTGTGTGTGTGTGTGTGTGTGTGTGTGTGTATATATATTGTCCTTGCATTTTTTCTTGTGTGACACACCTGAATGAAAGGCTCATTATGCGGGTCTTTGTCTTCTCAGATGAGAACCACCTAATTATTCATGAGGGGGTTGGGCCGTTCACACCCATTCGCATATTGCCTTTCCAAACAAAAAATGTTTTTCACAATTGAAAACAATCTATTGTTTTATGTGAATGAATAGGCAGGATGATTTTCAGATAATTTTGAAGCAAAAACTCTAGGCGACAACATCCATTAGTCAAAAGTCTTATGGACAGATATTTAGTATGTGTTTTGTGGCCTTATTTCAGAAACTTTAATTTTTAGTTTTTTCAATAACCATGCATAAACAATATTCTCTCAAAAATACAAACATGTACATACATGTTGCTCACATATTATGGTAGCCCTGTTTGTGCTAAATAGAGTGTAATTTCACCTATGCCATTAATATGTTTATAAGCAACTGAAAAAAGCACAAATGTCAGGGCATGTCAAAACATCTCAAGGACCCCAAAAACACCTTAGACCCCAGAGGGTTAAATACATCTTCATGCTTTTCTGGCATTATAAAAACTCTAAACTATTATTACTTTGAATATTCATTGATTTTAAAGGCGTTTTAAAGCTCTATAATAGTGCTCATAATAGTGATATATAATAGATTTATTTCTCAGAATAATGTGTTTACACAGAAAGGAGTGAGTGTATGCAATACAGCTGCAGCAGTAGTGACTGTGGAGAAACAGGATGAGCACGAGGAGAAGGATGACATGCACTAACAATAGGAGTCTGAGACTGGTGACAGTATTGCAATGTATAGAAACATAAAGCAACAGTCATTTCTATGAATATAAAGAGATTTTACTGAAAAGCACTAATAAATATTCATGTAAAAACAAGTGTTGTGCGCTGTACAGTTGCAAGTAGGTGAGCAAAAAGAGAGAATTCATCCGCAAACTGTTGATACTGATTGGCATTTTATCTTAGGTGTGGGTAGAAAAATCGACATAATCGTATCATGTCACGCCTGGCTAACTATTTATTGGAATGAAAAAATCTGTGTTTGCTAATAGGCTAGACAGTTGCTACACTACCAGATCTCTGTGGAAATAGGTTGAACGTCCTGGAGTTGGAGGTCTTTATGAGCAACGCAAATGCAAATAGCACATTATGCTCAATCAGAATCGCATTATGAAAATCAGCCTTGGAAGATCAGTGCACCTGATGTGTTTGTAAAAAGCTGGTGCTCAACATGGGACTCCCTGAGAAAAACAACAACTGTCTTTATGAATTGGGGTCAGAAAGTTCTGATATGGGTGTACAAAATGCGCTGTGAAATATCTGAAGCATGACGGAGAGGGCAACCCAGGACGAGAACTAACGAGAGGTCAGAGAAGAGTCTGTGCATGTGCTGCATGAAAGAATGTCACAGCAAATCTGACAAACACTAGAGAGAAAAGGTGACAGAGAAAGAGACAGAAGGAGAGAGAGAGAGAGAGATAGAGGTGGAGGTCATTTGTTCAGACTCACAGTGGAGAAGTTGTGGGCTCCACAGGGCTCTCCGCGGTACTTGCAGGCCAGTAGCATATCCTCCAGCTGGTGGCCCAGTCGGTCCATGAACTCCATGCTGGTGCCCTCGAAGCGCCGAGGAGGCAGGAAAAGACGGAAATCTGACAGCTTGCTAAACCATGCCCGCCTGTCATCTTGAAGCAGGTCCAGCACCAAGGGTTTGACCGTGCGGTTGGCCAGCAACAGTCCAAGCCAGTGACCCGCAAAGTACAGATCGCTCTTAGTGAGGTGGTTCAAACGAATGGGGTTATTGTTGCAGATGGTGACCGTGGGAAAAGCGAGTTCTCTCGCCCACTCTGTGTGGATTCTTGTGTGAGTGGGAAAGGCCAGCCAGTGAAGCAACCGATTCGAGGACCAGGAAACCAGAAGACCCAGACATGTACAGAATGCCAGCATCCAAAAGGCCCGGCGACTGAGTGAGTTTGACGGGGCACAGATGTGCCGCAATCCGTGGAGGCGAGTCCGCGCTAGGAGGGCCACGGTGAGGTGGGACAGATTGTCTCGTGGTGCTCCGGCTCGGGTGCGGCGACGACGGGCCCTGCCTTGGCCCGGCATGGGCGAGGCAGGGCGCAGACAGGGGCCTTCCAGAGCCATAAGGGCCCACAGGGCTGCTAGAGCAGCAGGGGGGACGCCTTCATCTCCCAGCCAGGCCTCCGCGGCCGGGGCCCTCATGGGGCTCCAGGAGCACAGAGAGAGCCACAACACTGATTTCCTGAATACTAATCTCACTTTTAGAGTCCAGCAAGTCACACACTATTGTAGCACATGCAAAACTACTCAAGGTTCAACTGAAGTGTACAATCCCAACTCTACTTTGATTTCCACTTTAATATCCTGTCAAATGTATGCAAACTTCATTACTGGATTGAATAAACACATTCACGCACAAACACACACACTGCTCCATAAGGTACACAACATTTATCATGTGTCTTCATACCCGCTGACAGCTCTCTATAAACCCTCAGGCAACATCCCCAGGCTATTTTCCTTGTTCCGTTCTCTTTCTAGATCTATTTCGCTCCCCTCCTCAGTCCATCTGGCCAGGGTGCCCAGACTTAGTCTGGGTTAGCAGACAGCCTGCAATCTGCATCTGAGATTCTCGCAGAATCTCCTGAAGTTCAGGCAAGTGAATCGGATCTTAATGAGAGAAAAAATTCAATAGATAAAAGACAGATTGTAAGAGAGAATAATGAAAAAGAGATGGATTGTGGAAGGCAACACCAGCTGAGTCACAAGAAAGAAGGATCTGGGAGAGTCTCCAGGCAGGCTGTCCTGTTGGTAAAATGGACCTTTTCCACAATCTCTGGAGAGAGGGTTTCCTGAACACTAGCTACAACTGACCCCACAGCCCCATGATCACACTCTTCTTGTCTTTTTATCTCTTTTTCTCTGGCTTTGACAGTGATACTGTACTGACTTTTCGCCTTCCCATTTCTCTGTGTCTCTGTCCTCAACAATGGGGGCACATGGCCAAAAGCCTGGTGTTACAGAGGTCGTACTTCGTGCTAGTTCACACACACATACGCACACACACACTGACTCTTGCCTGTAGGAGGGCTGAATGCCGCTGATGTGGAATCTGTTCTGACATGGTCCGAATTCAGCAGCTCACTCTCTCTCTCTCTCCTTCCCTTTTCCCATCCTTCTTTTAGACTGATACGGCATCCTTGATCTTCTTCTCCTTTGTTTTTCCTTTGCTAAAAATATCCATTCCCGGAAAATGTAATTCCTCAATTTGCATCCATGTCCCTCCTCTTTACTCTGTCAATCAAAGCATGCTTGCTCCTCCCCCTGCCTCTCGCGCGCCTCCTCTTGTCCTTTATCGTTGTCTGGACGGATTCACTACTGCCTCTTTGGCCGCTCGAAAGAGAGAGAGCGCAAGCGAGCGACAGAAGCTGCTCAGCATGTGAGACTTTGCTTGCCTTTGCACTGTTTAAATGTTCTGCTGTTGCTGCCACGGCACTCTCGCCTTCCCTTTCGCGCTCTGTCGGTCTGTTCGCTCAGCATTCCTCTCCTCCTCCTGGGTCACTCTATCTATTCACTCCTCCTTCTGCTCTGTCGTTTCTGTTCTCTCCGCACTCCTCCGTGTCCACACAGTCAGTGCCTGGCTCACCCTGTGCCAGCTCTCTCTCTCACTTGCTTACTCTCTCTCTCTCTCTCTCTCTCTCTCTCTCTCTCTGACTCTCTCTCTCTCTCTCTCTCTCTCTCTCTCTCTCTCTCTCTCTCTCTCTCTTTATTTGCCTCTATATTTTGTTCACTGCCTGCTTCCTTGAACAAGGCTGAAAATAAACAAAAGAGTCGCTCTAATGTTTCTCTTCATATGCTTGTTAAAATGTAAAATGGTGTCCTGTGTGTGAGCGTGTAGGAGGGTTGCTTTTGTGTAGGAAGAAAAGCCAAAAGAGCTCACTGGTGTCCCACACTTCCACTTCCTCACACTTATATTCTACAGTATGTCACGTCTTTTTCTGTATTTTACACACCTGGTCCTTTTCTCTCTTTGCAAGCTACACAAATGTGCCAACAATTATTTTTTTAAATAAAAGATTTTGGCCAAAACCCTTTTTCTTGCATGACTGAAACGTTAATTATTTAAGATTTGCATGACAGTGAGGAGAATGTTGTCCAATGGTACTTTCTGTGCCCTATACACCAGCTCACGACACAACCAACTAGGTGTGCAAGAGAAGTTTATTTATTCATAATCACTCAACTTCTCATTCTTAGATTGAAAAAAAAAGGGTAACGCTTTAGATTACAGCCCGGAAAGTACTGCGTAACTAAAGCGATTATACAGTGTAACTTTTGGTAATTATAGTGTACCTATAAAAGTACTTACATGTAAGTATAAGGGAACAATATGTAAAGTTTGGGGAATAAAGGGGTAACAACCAGGAGAATAAAAAATAAATTTATACTGTAAGTATTATAGAACTAAGGGGTACTTATTCTACTATTATGATACAACAATCTTGCATTTGAGAGCAATTTAGCAAGAACATACCTTTTTGTAATAATGGTGAACCTATACATACTGTATAGGCTTTTTAAAAAGTACAGGGTACATATCTATGCATTTATACAGTAATCTTTTTTAACAAAAGTGCACTGAAACCTAAACCTATTGCAACTTTTGCTTAAATATTAGGGAAAGATACTTGTTTTATGTAGTTGTGCTTGTTACCCTCTTGTTACTAGTTACAGGGTAAGTACCATAAAAATACATACACAATCTTATAGCACTGACTCGGAAACCTTTATTTGTAAAACAACTTAATTTAAAACAGATTTACAACACTTTTTTGTTTAAAACTGCTTTTTTAAATCAACAATTCATTTCAAATGCTTAAGTCTTGACAGAAAGTAGCACATTTTGTCCCCCCTTTTTTCTCTTGCTCTTTTCCTTTTTGTTTCTCTTCTTCTTTTTCTTTCTTTCCACTGATGAATCTGAAGAAGAAATCATGTCTCTTGCTATTCTGTATTATTTATTAAAAGAAAATGCAGTACACCCAGAAATATATCCTCACCATTTACTTATCTTTTACCCTCATGCCATCCAAGATGTACTGTATATGACTTTTCGGTAACGCTCCCTTTTACAGTACAGTACTTACGTGTACTTACAGTGTACTTACCTAGAAAGTACTGGCTAATATAAGGTAAGTACATGGGTTAGGGGTAGGTTTAGGGGTAGGTTCAGGGTTAGTACCTAGTTATTACCCAGTAATTGTAATTACTATAATAAGTACATGTACATGGGTAACAGGACTGTAAAAGGAAGCGTTACCCGACTTTCCTACTTCAGATTAACACAAATTAAGGTTTTTAGAAAAATAAAAAATACATCTCTGTGGATACATATAATGCAAGTTTCAACTTGTTTATAAAAGTTAGAGCATCAAACAGCATATACTGCTATAACTGTAGTAATCCATACAACCCCAATGGATGGATCAATGTCTTCCGAAGGGAAACGATAAGTGTTCGTAAGAAAAATTACAATATTTTAAACTTTTTAAAATGTAGACTATCGCTTCGGACCAACTGTAATAAGTTGTTTTTCAAATAAAGGTTTCCGAGTTAGTGATATTAGATTGTGTGTAAGTATTTTTATTGTACTTACCCTGTAAATACACGGAAGAAGAGGGTAACAAGCACCACTTTAATTTATGGCCCGTAATGTCACACTTACCCTGTAACTACATGAAACAAGAGGGTAACAAGCACCACTTACATGGAACTAGTGTTGCTTTCGTCAACGAAAATTATGACTAAATGTCATCGTCAACGAACCTTTATCACGTGACGAAAACGAGACGAGACGCAACGTAAATCCTGGTCATGTGACGATGACTATAATTAAATGTATAATGCATTTTCGTTGACCAAAACGAGACGAGATTAGAGCGTCTTCCGTGTCTGGAATGGATGTATTCTTGAGTCTATAAGGTAACAATAATATAATAAGAGAACTATAAGAAGATAAGATTGTTTGAAATGGGTTTGGCTAAAAGAACATTTTGGTTTCGTCTATACTACTAGGTACTTATACTATATTGACTGGGTTAAATAGAATTGCATTACTAAAAAGAGACTAAAATACAATTTGCATTGACTAAAACTAGACTAAAATGTCATCAGTTTTCGTCGACTAAAACTAGACTAGACTAAAAAGAGTATGAACGTGACTAAAACTAATAAAAACTAAAATGACAGCTTGACACAAAGACAAGACTAAAACTAAAATTAAAGCAGGCTGCCAAAAACAACACGGAACAAGAGTATATTTCCCAGTATAAAAAAAAAATTGCAATCGTTTTAGCTTTACTTGCCTTGAAACATGAAAAAAAAAGTAAGATTGTATCATAATAGTAGAATAAGTACCCCTTAGTTCTATAATACTTACAGTATAAATATTTTTTTCATTCTCCTGGTTGTTTTCCCTTTATTTCCCAAACTTTACATAATGTTCCCTTACTTACAAAGTACTTTTTAGGTACACTATAATTACCAAAAGTTACGTTGTAAATTCATCTTAATTACGCAGTACTTTCCAGGCTGTAATCTAAAGCGTTACCAAAAAAAGTATACCTAAAAATGATTCCTAGGGCCCTATTTTAACGATCTAAGCACATGGTCTAAAGCGTCCGGCACAAGTGCACTTAGGGTGTGTCCGAATCCACTTTTGCTAGTTTAACGACGGGAAAAACTTGCACTGTTATAATGCAATACAATTATTTATACAATAAACAAAAAGTAAAAAAATTTGACTGTGTTAAAATCACAAATGATCGAGTAAACAAAATTCCGCGATTTACATGGCGGAATTTGCAACCGGAAATACCTAACGCTTCTCCAGAGAGAAAACGGTTCTGCTCGTTTGCAAGGCTAAAGCGCGCAAGCAGACCATCTACGGGACATGCCGAATTCCACTATATGTACACAATATTAATCTTTTACATTGTAATCCTTTTATTTTTAATATTTGGCATGTTTGTGTGCTGCTGCACGTCCCTGTGTGTGTAATAAGCGATTGTGTCCTTTAATTAACAAAAAAATAGTGCGTCATTGACTTAAGACCAGGTTTCAGTTGGTCAATGTTTATTTGGCGCAGTCTATTTCAGTTGCCTTAAAATAGAAACGCGCCAACAATGCACCCGAACACACCACGTTTTCAAACCAGCACGCCCATGGGCGAACAATTATTCCAATTATAACAATTATTTTATATTCTATTATGCTATTTAAACAACGTGGTGCATGACGTGAAAATGATAACTGCTTTGGGCTGAAACTAGCATAAAACACTTGGGTCATGCCTGGTGCCACATTGCGCCAGGTGTATGATAAGGCCCCAACAGTTAAATGCTTACAAAAACAAAACAAAAAATCAAATATTTAAATGAACTTATTTTGATGAACTTAAATATTTAAATACATTTAGGTTTCAGGGTTTAGGTTACACCAGGAAAATATAATTTAATGGTCAAATTAGATACAAACACCTCCTTAAAGCTGCAGTCCGTAGTTTTTTTTTGGGTTAAAAATTATCCAAAATACATTTTTGAGAAAATACATAACCAGTCAGTGTTCAAAACTCTCTGCTTGCCTTAGCTCGATTCAAAGCGGTAAGCTTGTAATAATGTTTTTAATTCCAGTGGTACTGGTGGATTTCCGCGGGAGATTTGAGCATGTCTTTGCATCATTAAGTCACA